CAGAAATATTAGTTTTTCAATAATTCATAAATTCTCAATTGAATATTGGTAATATTCCTAGTTAGCAATAAAAATACAATGGGAGAACTGTTAACTCAAACCATGTTTATAATGATCCTTTTATACATAAATAATGATTGACGACATAATTCGATCGAAAAATTAACTGGAATGTTTTATTTTTAGACCTAAATAATAGAACCTTCTGAAAACGGACCCTCTTATGACGTAGAAACCTCATCTCGCCATAGTTGAAAGAAAATACCAAACGCCCGACGGAGACTGAGGCAACTGATATATTAATTCTTTCAACTGTGATCTCGCGCTAATTCACTCTGTCAGAAATCATGTATCATTCATCTCTGCCTGGAATAATCTTGTTTCAGTATTAGGGTTTTGACGTCACATCATCGCCTCGTTTTCAGAGGTCCGAAAAATCGGGGATTTCAATAATTCTTTATAAAACGTAGGGAGCTCACAGCAAGAAACGGTTTGCGGTGGGAGCTAGTTTGGGTGAGTTCTATCGAATTATGAAATGAATTTTATTTGTGATATAAGCCCATTGTCTCGAAATGTTCCCTTGTGATTTGTGGCTTATTGCTTATAATAAATTTGTGTAAATAATAATTATATTAATTCACACTAGAGGACATCAGTGAACGTGACAACCACGGCGCCCGACTTGTGGGCGTGGTCTTGTCAGTTCTCAGCATTCAGCACAAGTCTCCAACATTCCCATGATATTTTGTTATGGAGAATAAGAAATATTTGAACATGCTGGTTGTTCGAAAAAGTCAAGAATGAACTATAATATCATGAGTTCCTTCCTATTATGTTTTATTCAAGATAGAGAAATATAGAACTCAGACACAGACACATGAATTAGGTCAGATATTTCAAGATAAGGGAAAATATTGTTGTAATGAGCACGCAGATATTTATTGATAAAAATTTGATGACCTATCTTGAAAATACAATCGATAATTTTTCGCTACTATAAGTGTCGCTAATATATTTATGAATTTATGTTACCATTATCGCTAATATTATTTGGTAACACTTTCGATTCAGTATTTTGATAAACAAAACTTGACCGACTTTCAACGTCAAATGATATGGTGGACCCTTAAAAAAATATTAAATTGTTTGGAACAGACAAAACGTTTTGTTTCAATGCACGTGATGAACTATCCACTTACTAAAAATAAGATGACTTTGACATCTTGCCAGCAATTTATGAAATATAGGATGATGTTAAAAACGTCTCCAGATCATTGCAAAAGCTGATGGAGGTGAAAAAAATCAATAAATGAAATCGTGATCATGATCTTCTTTGTTTTTTGTATGTTCTTTTATGAACTCATGAAAATGGTATTTTTTTTATCAAAAGTCTAGCAGAGTAACTTTCGATCCTAATGAAACCTGCTATTTTTTCTGCAATGTCAGCTGACTCATTTTTGCTGCCTAGGAGTCGAACTTCCAACTTAAGCTCGTAGACGCTAAAAGTGTTGCCTAGCAACATACCGGGTCAGTGAAATTCCAGTAGATGCATGGAGATCTCAGAAAAGGTCAGAGATGGGTCAGTGCTACAGGGAGCGTTAAATGGAGACAAAGTTGCGCAATTTTGAAAAAAAAAGAAATTTCGCGATTTCATTTTTATTTTTTTTCTGACTCTATTTGAATTGATGTAGCAAAGCAAATCAGACATTCTAATTGCTATATCTTCTTTTCTACAAGACGGTATCATTAGATTTGCAAACCAACGATTCGTCTTTGAGATGCCATCATCAACTTTGTTTTTTTAAATACGGCCCTAGATTTTTTATTATGGATTTTAATAGCTTTTGATCTCCGTAAACCAACGGTGTGATGCACTAATTCGAAAAATCCATATTATTTTCCATAAGAACTCATGTGTTAGAGGGAGACCGAGAATAGATTTTTAATAGGGATAAAAACAAACTCCTTTTTCGAATGAGTGCGATACAGCATTGATTTTAGGACACGAAAAGTTCTTAAAATCCATGATAAGAAATCCAGGGCCGTATTAAAAAAAACAATAACAAGTAAGTTGATGATGGCAGCTCAAAGACTAAACTAAATAAAGATATTTCACTATAAAGTTACAAATTTAACCTTCTTTTCCACCTGTCTTTCGGATCGCATTCAGAACAATTTGCCCTTTTTTTTTCATTATTTCAGAAATGGGCGACATTTGAAAAAATTCCAAAAACACGTGAGTTTTAATTTCTGAAGCCTCATCTCATGATATTCATATGAGAGATGTTACGTCACCGGTGTTGGAGTAAAGACGTAATGGACGATTTTTTCAAATACAAATAGGGGTCATGTGACACCTTGATTGAAAGGTCTATCGATCGTCTATTCAACAGTCAAAATGTTGCATAAGAAGATTGAAATTAAAATGGATTATCATGTGATTAATTTAATCTTGCAGATGTCTGCTACTGAGAATTGAACATCGAAGGGTCGTCTAGTTAATAAAATACGTCGAAAAAAAAGTTCTAAACTCTAGTTTTTGGTTTTTTTTCGAAAGTCGTCTTGTTTTGAAATGAATTTATTTCGAATTTATTCCATACATTTGCATCATACTGTATATCACACAATGTTGGACACATTTTTTTTATTATATTAGTCGACTATAAATATTATTTTCTTGTGATTTATCCATATTTAGTGAAAAGAAGGAAGAATATCATTTGAAATAATGGCGTGTGTAATGTCATTCCAAAGCAATCTATTGACATTTGACATCTCGTATTTGGATTGCCTATGGATTAAATGACCGTCATCTGGTATGCTTGCTCACTAAATAGGAAAAACTCGTCATTAAAATCATATTTCCTGTTGAATTTTCTATCTCGAACTAGATAAAAAAAATAATCTCTCAATTTCACCATTAGATAATATAAAGTAGTAACTTTTCATTCAAAACTCTTGATTAAATCTAATTAACAAAATATCAGGTACCCCCGTGACTAGATTATAAAACAAAGTCTTTTACATTGCTTTGAAAACTTCGAGGAGAACCTATCAATAACAGCATCTATATCTATTTCAATATATCTATGAATGCTTTTGGGTGTATGATAAATTGACATTCATCATACAGGGCGTGGAAATGAATTCTGAATTGAGACTCTATCACGAATCTGCGATTAGAGGTCTATAAAAATCACAAGTTTCCATCGTTCAAGTTTGAACCCCCTGATTGGGTATGAAAGTGTTGAAAAGGAATATTCTCAAATATAATTCAATGTTCGTCGTGGCATATAGCCAGGAAAGTAGTTGTTTTCTATTGAATAAACTGAAAAAGAGTAGATATTCTCATCACATAGAGAATGCGAATTCTCAATGTATTGCTTTATATAAATATATATCCATTTTTTGTATGTTTATAATTTATCTGAGAATATTCCTTTTCATATCTATGAATATTTAATATAAAGTTAATCCGACTAGCCTGACCCATTGTACACCTCAACCATGATTTCAGTGTCTTACTTAAGTGTATAGAAAATGATCTTTCAGCACTCGCCACACTCACCGGCATAACAGATTTTATCTGCAGGAGTGTATAAATAGTGGGAAATATTCCGATACTGCAATGCTGTAATAGTTATTTATGTAATAAGGATCATAAAGACGATCATTATGGTACAAGTCGTGAATGTTATCGGGCGAGGCGTAGCCGAGTCCGATAACACGGCGTGTGCCATAATGATTGTTTATGATTCGTATTACATACAAAATTTTATCTGATGGCATTTATATCAATACATTTTCGAAAAATTAAAAACTGCATTTTCGACATGTCACAATGACAACTATTTTCAAAGGAGTAAGTATTGTGTAGTTTCAAATATTAGTAGGTGAGTGAGCTGTGCTTTGCCATTATATTAATATTACAAATTGTAGTAATTGTTCTTTTACCATTTATAATAAATAGTTTTGTACATAGTTATGCATTTTGAATAAACTTTTTTGATCAAACCATTACATGTTTTCCTTATAGAATTTCATTATGGTACTTAGTACCATAATGAATTCATTATGGTACTTAGTCCCATAATGAGCTTCCTTATGTCATCAAAATTGAGTGACATAACGTTGTCATTATGACATGCCATCAGATAAAGTATCTAAGGCTGTTATTTTGGGTAAATTATTATAGGTTTATTTGTTGTTTCTTCCCATTCATTTTTCCAAAGATCTATTTCTGATTACAACAAATCTGACTAAAATGTTTGGGAGAGAATTCATTTCTAAATATACTAACATATTCAGAAACTTGTTTTACTAGAATGTTTGAATCATTGGTATAGAACATAATCAGGCATCAACCTGTTGATATATAACATTTTGAATTCATTATTAATTATTGTTTCTAAGTCTTTTACTGTTTTACTATTTTTGTGCTTTCAGGGGGGGTACTGTCCCCCAGTACCCCCCCTTATCTACGCTGGTGGTAGATGTCGACGAAAAATAGTTATTTATGCAACAAGTGCAAAAAGTTAATGTTTATTGCACTAGTTGCATACAACATTTTTTCTATGTTCATGCAAAAAGCAAAAAATGATTTATTGAGTTGCGGCACTAGGTACAATTCTGTTAATTGTCAGAATTAATTTTTGACTGACGTTTCTATAACCACAGTTGCAATATAAAAAATGTTTGTCATGATGACAGCACGTTGAAGTAGAATGACAGATGAGTGCAATAAAAACTTTATTGCACTAAGTGCAATAAAGAACTTCTTTTTCCACTAAATATAGTTCAATAAAGTTCTGCTTTTTGCATTAATGTAGAAAAATTGGTTTTATAACATTTGGATCACATGGCAGCCATTCTACTACTTTCCTGTCCAGTAAAACAAATAGCTATTAGATATTTATTCAACTGGCAGATCTCGTCATAACAGTATCTAGTAATACTAACTTGTTGATGTAAGTAAATTACATTGCATAGTTTTGTTTCAGCTGTCAAATTCCAAGAACACCTTCTCAAGACGATGCTGCAAATTGAAGATACTTTTTTTGAGTTGGGGAAAACATCGAAACGAAACTGTCTAATAATTTGTGATAGAGGAGCAATGGATGCCTCAGCATGTGAGTTTCTTTTACTGTCAATACTGTGCTTTCGTAACATACTTGAAAACCACACATTTTCCAGATGTATTTCAGAAAGCGTCAATTCAATTTCAGAAACCGTCAATTCTACAGGGTATGTCAGGACGAGCTTACACTATCTTTATATGGAGAATCAGTTGGGAGAAATACATAAAAATCTGCATGTTTATATTTTAGAATACGCTCTCTTCATTTAAAATATTTTCGACAATGAAGTGTTGCCGCTTCTACTAGAAAGTAGTAGCAACATTGATATTTCAAATGGAACACCCTGTATTTCATCGCATTTTTATATTCTCCCTGAAGAGCTGATTTCATCGATGTATCACACTTGGGGTCTATCGGAAAATATTACAGAGATATAGGGTGTTGAAAATCGAGATTTTTCAACTTTAGGATTTTTTTGTGTCGAAACTATTCGTTATCGGTGAAAACGGCTCACATGTCCTAATCTCAACTTTTGATTCACTATTTACTGATATTTAATAGGAACAGATACAGGGTGGTTCAAGATACAGAATTCTGATAACAATTATCACTAAATAGTCAATCAAAAGTTGAGATAGGGACATGTGAGCCGTTCTGGCCGATAATAAATAGTTTCGACACCAACAAATCCTAAAGTTGAAAAATCTCGATTTTCAACACCCTATATCTCTGTAATCATTTCCGATAGACCCCAAGTGTGATGTATCGATGAAATCAGCTCTTCAGGGAGAATCTGAAAATGCAATAAAATACAGAGTATTCTATTTGTAATAACAAAGTTGTTGCTATTTTTTGATAGAAGTGGCAACACTGCATTTCTGAAAATATTTTGAATGAAAAGAGCGTATTCTAAAATATAAGCATGCATATTTCCATGGATTTCTCCCGACTGATTTTCGATATAGAGATAGTGTAAGCTCGTCGTGACATACCCTGTATATCAGCATCAATTGAGTTTCAGAATAGTCAATTCAATTTCAGAAAGCGTCACTTGTATTTCAGAATATTCATTTGAATTCCAGAAAGCGTCAATAGAATAGAAGCATCACTCAAATAACTTTCAATTTCATATTTTTTTAGAAATTTTCGGTCGATTTTCAGTTGCTAAAATCATCCATAATGCTACGGTTATTTTAGAACGGCTAGAAATTTACCGCTAGCATCCGCTAATAAAAACTGACGTCACGATTTCGTAAGTAGGGGCAGACCATAGCACCGTTGCCATATGTTGAAATAGGATTAGGAACTTCAGAAATATTAGTAATTCATTAATTCATACATTCTCATTTATGTATTGGTAATATTCCTAATTAGCAATAAAAATCTTAGGTAGAAGTCCACATTTTTCAAAGGAATGAAGGAAGGAATGCTCGAAGTCATCTCCACAAATTTCAAGGTTGTTACACAATCAGAAGGTACATGTTTCGGTCTTATAAAATACCATCTTCAGCCTGATTGAAAGTTTTAGAGCTGAAAAATCACAACTAGTAGCATCAAATTTTCTTTCAATTAGGCTGAAGATGGTCTTTTATGAGACCGACATATGCCCCTTCTGATTTTGTAACAACAACATTAAAATTTGTGAAGATGACTTCGAGCATTCCTTCCTTCCTTCCTTTGTTTAGCAATAAAAAGTCAATTGTCTCAAAATGTTCCCTAAAAAAAAAATTGTTCTATCCGTCATTCGGTGTTCTTGTTCCGTGACGATCAGATGTATTATGTGTATTGTATGTGTGTATTTGTGGCAGAGCGTTGATATTACCGCGAATATTTCGTCCCTGTCTAAATATAATATCCGATGGACCAAATAAAACGTTTGCAATTATTCAAATCCACATGAATTCTGGTTCGTCGGATATTAATATTGATGCTCTACCATGAACCTTTGATTAGTTTGGATCGCGACACGAAATCATTTCATAATTCCAATCAGGAGTGTATAATACAGGGTAGGACCACATTGAATAGTGCTCAAAATTTTTTGTATGCATATCTTCCGACAATTTATCTCGGATTATGAATTCTCACACCTCTTACCAGACAAAAGGTACTCTTGTTCCGTGACGATCAGATGTGTATTGTATGTGTGTATTTGTGGCAGAGCGTTGATATTACCGCGAATATTTCGTCCCTGTCTAAATATAATTTTCGATGGACCAAGTAAAACGTTTGCAATTATTCAAATCAACATGAATTGTGGTTCGTCGGATATTAATATTGATGCTCTACCATGAACCTTTGATTAGTTTGGATCGCGACACGAAATCATTTCATAATTTCAATCAGGAGTGTATAATACAGGGTGGGACTACATTAAATATTGCTCGAAATTTTTTTTATGCATATTTTCCGACAATTTATCTCGGATTATGAAATTTCACACCTCTTTACAGACAAAAGGTACTCTTGTTCCGTGACGATCAGATGTATAATGTGTATTGTATGTGTGTATTTGTGGCAGAGCGTTGATATTACCGCGAATATTTCGTCCCTGTCGAAATATAATATCCGATGGACCAAGTAAAACGTTTGCAATTATTCAAATCCACATGAATTCTGGTTCGTCGGATATTAATATTGATGCTCTACCATGAACCTTTGATTAGTTTGGATCGCGACACGAAATCATTTCATAATTTCAATCAGGAGTGTATAATACAGGGTGGGACTACATTAAATATTGCTCAAAAATTTTGTTATGCATATTTTCCGACAATTTATCTCGGATTATGAAATTTCACACCTCTTTACAGACAAAAGGTACTCTTGTTCCGTGACGATCAGATGTATAATGTGTATTGTATGTGTGTATTTGTGGCAGAGCGTTGATATTACCGCGAATATTTCGCCCCTGTCTAAATATAATATCCGATGGACCAAGTAAAACGTTTGCAAGTATTCAAATCCACATGAATTCTGGTTCATCGGATATTAATATTGATGCTCTACCATGAACCTTTGATTAGTTTGGATCGCGACACGAAATTATTTCATAATTTCAATCAGGAGTGTATAATACAGGGTAAGACTACATTAAATATTGCTCAAAATTTTTTTTATGCATATCTTCCGACAATTTATCTCGGATTATGAAATCTCACACCTCTTTACAGGCAAAAGGTACTCTTGGTCCGTGACGATCAGATGTATTATTATCGAGTTAAAGCAATTTAAAAATATTGTTACATCTCAGATATTATGCGATGAGGTGTAGTGAAAATGGAAAAAAATGCACAAAAATTGAAGTAGTTTTTTCATCATCATTTTTTAATTTTACGCGCTCTTATGAGATTGTTTGGTAAAAAGAAAGTACTTGATTTTTTATTGCCACTATGATTTGAAAATTGGCAACGTTATGCATAAGATGTGAGTGCATCAATATTTTTAAATCGATATCACTCGAGAATGATTCATCTGATCGATGCGGAACAAGAGCAATTTTTTTCGTGAAACGGTGTGGATTTTCATAATCCGAGATTAAATTGTCAAAATCTATGCATACGAAAAAGTTTGAGCAATTTTTAATGTAGTCCCACTCTGTATTATACACTCCTGAATGAAACTCTGAAATGATTCTATGTTCACCGCATTGGGCATGGAAAGTTTTGTTCTTGTATCAAATTGCATCACTTTATCACATGGTGCTGGTGAAGTTTGGCAGGCTAATTTCGGGACACCCTGTATACAGTGTGTCCCGCTCTTCATGAATACACCCTGATATCTCAGTTGTTAATGATGCTATTCTCTTGAAATTTCAGTGGTGATTGTATGTTAGAACAATGAAGTATTTAGCAGAGTGAACAGTTTCATTCACCATTGGCGTGTAATGTTGAGGGGTACAAAATTTATTTATTCGGAAAAAGCATCCCCAAAAATTCCCCAATTCATATTTTCTTAAGAAAAATTCAAAATTCCGCTTATCATGACTACGCCCCAAAATCTGGGTTATTAATGATGCGATTTTCTCGAAACTATGATGGTGATTAGGGTTATTTTTCTAACATACAATCACCATCACAATTTTAAGAAAACCGCATCGTTGATAACTGAGATTTAAGGGTGTTGTCATGAAAAGCGGGATTTTGAAATATTTTATTTTAGCTCTTGGGACCTTGAAAATATGAATTGGGGGTTTTTTGGATGCTGATTATGAATCTGATAAAAAAGTTATTTAAAATGAGTCCTAATATCCTTTTCCCAAATAATGCCCTTTTTTGTACCCCTCAACATCGCACGCCAATGGTGAATGAAACTTCATTCTGCTAAATACTTCCTTATTCTAACATACAATCATTACAAAAATTTCAAGAGAACCGCACAAATAATAACTGGAGATATCAGGGTGTATTCATGAAAAGCGGGACACACTGTATATGTACCTGAATAAAGTGTTTTTGAAAAAAAGAAGAAAAAACGTACAGGATGATTCGTGTAGGAGAAAGGCCGTCATGGATATTTTTTAAATGGCAACCCCATTTCACTAGAGCACTGAATTTAACGGACGCACAGTATACAAACCCTACGATATATTTTTATATTGATATATTTTTTTATTCATCCTTTCATGGGCATTCCAAAAGCCCCCTCATAAATGTGGTAAATTGAGATAAAAAATCGACCTCTTTCTGGAGATTCCTCAGAAATGGATCGTTTAGCTGGAAAATAATTTATTCAGTACTGTATGTTTCGTTCACTGAACGAAGAAATTTTAATATGTTTGCTGATTATTTTCCAGTTATAGCCAGAGAGAAATGGGAGAATATAATGAGTGACAACACGTGGAACAGCGTCGAGTTGCGAGATAATCGATATAATCAAATTATTCATATGGTGTCAGCTGCCAAAGGTGCCGAAGAGTTTTATTCGATAGAGGTGAGATATAATAAATAGCTACTGTGAAGTGTTTGAAATAAAAAGAACTTGAAGCCAACTCATTTGGATACACCTAATATTCTAGAAGTGTCTAATAAAATCCTAGACACCCTATGTTTCATTTTTCCCTTAGGATTTAAAACATTCAAACTAGACATCAAACTGCCGCATAAATCTACCATGATAGTAGGAGAGCCGGTTGCGAATTTCGACCGTTATCAATGAATAACGAAATGATATATTAAATCGAACGGCACACGTGGAAAATTACAATTTCCTGTGCGGCAATTCACCAAAAATTCCGTGATTTGACATCGAGATAAGAATTATGCCATCCGATATACCAATTGAATTTGTAAAAGGACCCCGCACTTTTAGTACGTAAAATGGTTCTCGGTGAAATTTTCTGAATTTTCAGTATGTTGTAGAATTCGATGAACTGATTGAACCTGCAGAATCGTAAAGTTCTTTGATGAACATATTCTGAGATACAGGGCGTTGAAGTTACAAATCGGTATTTTTCATTTAATTATTTTCCCGAAATTCAAAGATGCCGAGTACAATTTTCTTCGCTCATATCATCAACGAACCTCCATATTACTCAAAATAATTCAGATGGTTCAGATGATGCAATTGTTTACAGAGTGAAACATATAAACATTTCAGTGATGTCTGAAAATTCGATGTAATAATGAAATATCGAAAAAATAATTGAGGCTTGCAATATTCTATTCTCATTCCATCATGAATCACAATTCATACATTTCATACAGGGTGATTTGAAAAATTGGTGACACCTAAGACCGAAAACTAGTATGGGACTGCTTAGAAACCCTAAATGCACTGGGCAGTCAGAACAGACTGACTCTAGCATGGGTACCAGCACATACAGGGTACGAGGGCAATGAAGAGGCAGACTCACTTGCCCGAGCAGGAGCAAACAAAGCTCTGAATGGCCCAGAACCCTTCTGTGGTATTGCGAAAGCTATACAAAAGACTAGTATCAAATCATGGATGCAAACCAAATCTCAAGAATGGTGGAACAAATCGCCAGGAATGAGACAGGCAAAAGAGTTTATTAAAAAACCATCGCCAACATTCACAGAATATCTACTAAGCCAGAAACGAAGTTCAACTAGAATACTAGTGGGACTTCTCACAGGGCATTGTAGGCTCAACAAACACATGAGTACGATAGGTCTGACTGAAGAACTGCTGTGCAGGTTCTGTCAGGAAGAGGAGGAAACAGCAGTACACATACTTTGCCACTGTGAGGGCTTGTCAAGACTAAGGTTCCTTACGCTGGGTGAGGAAAAACCAGAAGCCCAGAGATACACAGGGGATCTGAAAGCTAGCCTATGGAGTCTCATAGAGAAGACGGGGCTAGCCGAAGAACTCTAATCGATTTTGAGGGCAGACACAATAGATCTGAAAAGGTCGCGGTGTGGAGGCAGATAGCCCGAAGGCCCCATTCTAAATCTAATCTAATTCTAAATCTAAGACCGATTTATTCATACACATCCTGTATATTCGAGTGAATTGTTAACCTCCCAAGATAGCTGATACCGTATGAATATGATATCGTTGAGATATATAGGGTGATCATGGAGATTTTCGATGATGAAAATGACAAAAAATCGTGTTTTTTGAAATCACCCTGTTATTCATGATTAACTCGGTGAAATTCCCTAATTATTTTCTAAAATATTCATCATTCGCTCCACAACGCTGTCTTAAAAATTCAGTTTCCTATCATGACGGGTGTCATAGTTATTAATTCAGGAACTTACCATTTGCATGAAGAGTTGAAGAGACTTGTTCACTTACATTCGCATAGTGGCCGATATTTTTCACAAATAGTGAAACGTGAGAATGTGGAGACGAAAATAAGTTTAGTATTCATATACAGGGTGTACATTAGAAATTCAATAACAATAGCAGATATATGAATTTAATAATATTAATATAATGTTAATCATGAATAACAGGGTGATTTCAAAAAACACGATTTTTTGTCATTTTCATCATCAAAAATCTCCATGATCACCCTATATATCTCAACGATATCATATTCATACGGTATCAGCTATCTTGGGAGGTTAACAATTCACTCGAATATACAGGATGTGTACGAATAAATCGGTCTTAGGTGTCACCAATTTTTCAAATCACCCTGTATGATATGTATGAATTGTGATTCATGATGGAATGAGAATAGAATATTGCATGCCTTAATTATTTTTTCGATATTTCATTATTACATCGAATTTTCAGACATCACTGAAATGTTTATATGTTTCACTCTGTAAACAATTACATCATCTGAACCATCTGAATTATGTTGAGTAATATGGAGGTTCGTTGATGATATGAGCGAAGAAAATTGTACTTGGCATCTTTGAATTCCGAGAAAATAATTAAATGAAAAATACCGATTTGTAACTTCAACGCCCTGTATCTCAGAATCTGTTCATCAAAGAACTTTACGATTCTGCAGGTTCAATCATTTCATCGAATTCTACAACATACTGAAAATTCAGAAAATTTCACCGAGAACCATTTCACGTACTAAAAGTGCGGGGTCCTTTGTAAAATTTGTTTATCGCTACTTCAAAGTTGGGAACCAACTCCCCAGAAGTCGAAACTTGTGCGGGGTTAGGAAGAGCGGGACCTACAGCTTACAGTGGAATCCGAACCACTTCTAGGGCATCGAGGTGCTGCCAGGATTACAACCATGAATCACACATTTTTAAAGAAAAATGCTCAGCCGATAGCCGGATTCGGCTGATCTAAAGGCCTGTTCGTTTGTATTGCTGAACTTGCTAAAGTTGATTATTTTCCCATAGTTGTCTGTGTTCATGGCATGAGGTAAACAGAGAAAGTCATAGAAAAAAATCAAGTTCAGCAGGTAGAGCAAGCACAAACGAACAGGGCTTAAGTTTGAGGCAGAGCGTTAATATTACCGCGAATATTTCGTCTCTGTCGATATATAACTCGTAATATCCAATGGACTAAGTAAAACGTTTGCAATTATCCAAATCCACATGAGTTCTGGCAGGGGCGAACTATTCTCGGAAATATTGATGCTCTACCATGAACCTTTGATCAGTTTGGATCGCGATAAGTTTAGATATTCGCGAAGGACACATTATCCTCTTTATTTTGCATTTTGTTTGAACTCGTTATCGGGTGACGGAAGTGTGTCCTGAATATCAGCAGCAAAATAATCTATTTGGCGAGGATTCGAGATGCAGAGGTGGCACAGGTACAGTTTTTGATACCTACTAGTAGTGAAAACGCGAGATTTTGGCAAATGACCGCACAGAATAGTGCTATTATTCAATCATATCGCCCAGGATACTGATTGGCACAGGTGCCGTTCGATAATATACGTTTGTTTTTACATGCCTTTGAGACTTACCGTGCTTTCACGTCTAGTCCCTACATAGGACATAACCTCGTGCGATATCGTTATTCGATGGAAGGGATAAAACGAGCCATGCCGCTTACAGCCGGCTAGTGATCTCTCGACGCAAATTCCCCATTCCTAAGTAGCTGCCAGCCCCTCCCTCATCTCTTACATAGCTGATAGCCCCGAGCGCGACTGAATACTTTGCCCATGTAGTGTTCCAATGGAAGCGTTATTAGAAATTTGCAGCCGGCTCTTGGACTATCACCGTTACCATCGAGACAATAAGGCCAGAGCTCTGTGACGTAAACAGCTCGTGACGTCAACTAAGAGAGGCCACACGCCACACACCTATTCAATGGCGTGTCGATTCGTAGTCACCGTTGCCAGACCTACTATTTTAACAGTAGATCTACTGTTTTCGTCTCCGTTCTACTGTTCAAGGCAATAGTCTGAATGAGATTTCTACCTAATATGTAACAATGAATAATCAATGGGGCATCACAGTAAGAAGATGTTTGATAAAAATATATTGGAATTATTATATTCAGTCTGATTAGTAAAAATCAGCTTTCATTTTCAATTTTGTTGTGGTTTTTACAATATTCTTCTTTAGATTATATTATTTTAAGATAAAAAAAAAATTTAAAAAAAAAACCATCGCATGATAAATGCAGTTTTACCCTTAAAAATTACTGTTTCAAATCTAACGATCAATTGGGTGAAAAATCCAACAACATGAAATTGAAAACACTCTGCGGGCCCTGTAAAAGTAGGTGTGAAGTTTACCTTCACCTCAATTTTTGCCAATATATTCAATTCGAATGGGTTGCTGTAGGTGGGTTTTTGTGTTTTATTCTGATTTTTGCTTTGAAACTTCGTTTTTCCATACTAAAATCGAATGGGATGCGAAGAAGGGCTCAGTTGACGACTGGCATACTTTTTTAACCGGAAGCCCTTCAAAAAAACAGCAAAATCGGCTCAATAATGATCTAAAACTAAAATTGAAATACACGGTCGCCTTGTAGCGCCATAAGCGCTTGTCATTTCGAACCGCTGGTTAGGCCTCACTAAGGTGACGTCACCACGGAGCATGCAGGCCTTATTGTCTCGATGGTAACGCTATAACCCTAAGAGCGCCAAATCGAAAAGAACGTTAGACATTTTCGAACAAAATAGGACCACAACTGTCGTTCGGAAGACGTCGAGCTGGCGAGAGAGCTCGACACGAAGGCGGCCGCCTCCTGGGTGGGCCACCCCTACTTCGACGTCATCGACAACTCGACGAACTTCGAGGGCAAGATGCGCAGGATGATCGGCTCGGTGTGCCACAAGATCGGCATCGATACGGGCGACCGACTGCTCAAGAACTCGCGCAAACACAAGTTTTTGGTGGAAGGGCCGCTGCCCCAGGACTCGGCTTTCCCACCCTTCCAAGACTTCGAGGTCGTGCACAACTATCTGCAGTCGAATTCGCCCAATCAGGTCAGGTTGCGAAAGCGCGGGCAGAAAGGTGAGAAGCGTTATTTGTTTTGTTCGAATTAGGAGACTGTGTTAAGAATTATTGGATCAGTTTGTATTGGTACAAATATATTTTACTTTTACTTTACTTGGTTGATTGAGGGACACACCCGTTCAATAGTATAGCAGGACTTGAATGTAACAAGTCTAAGGCAAGCATTTATTGACAGATTTTCATTACCCACATAGGTAGCGATTCGGGATTTTTGGATAGTATAGTAGTTAATTAGGCACCAGTAGGCGAGGAAACAAACTCGTTGATTCAGTTCAGACCGAAATATACTAGAATTCATCGGTTTTTCGTCAAAATATACTTTGATACTCGGGAAAAGACCGTTCGTGAACAAGAAAATTTCGTGATAGCATTCTCTCGGATTGCCGAGTATTGTAAAGAAATTTCGATAAGGACGACCGACTGCTCAAGAACTCGCACTACCACAAGTTTTTGGTGGAAGGGCCGCTGTCCCAGGACTCTGCCTTCCCGCCCTTCCAGAACTTCGAGGGTCTGCACAACCATCTGCAGTCGCATTCGCCCAATCAGTCAGCGGTATTCGTTTTGTTCGAATTAGGAGACTGTGTTGACAATTATTGAATAAGTTTGTATTGGTACAAATATATAGGAGTATAAACATGTTTGTATATCTCATTTTTTTCGGAATCTCGCTGGGATTGAAGATTTGTAGTATACTAGTTGATTGGTCACCAGTAGGCGAGGAAACGAACACATGCATTAGGTTCAGACTGAAATATACTGGTATGCATAATTTCTTTCATCTAAAATTCACTTTGATACGCGGAAAGTCACCGTTCACACAGACTAATATCGTGGTAGAATTCTCTCGCTTTGCCGGTTCACTAGTTCAGAAACAATACAGTGAGAGCGACATGAAAATGAATCACAAGTGTCTGTCAATCCGTCGTCGAAATTTCATGCCTTAGCATTATTTTTGCCGCTTTAAGCAACAATGTATGGACTACGATGAGCTCAGAATCTCCGACACCCGTAAAACGACGTGGACACTCCTTTGCATCCATAAGCGTAGGAAAAATTGCAAAGCAGATCAGTAAAAGGTAATACAAGGAACAAAAAAAAAAAAAAAGGTGGAAATGAAATTATTCTTGATGATGACATAACATATTATACAGGGCTTTTCACGATGAGCGTTAATTAGACGTTTCTGGCAAACCAGACAACGGATCATTTTGAAAATTCAATAGAGGGCATATTCGGACATTCTCTAGCCAACTAAAATATTTTCGACAATGTGGTGTTGCCGCTTCTATTAGGAAGCAGTAGCAACTTTGATTTTTCAAATAGAACACTCTGTATTTTATTGCATTTTTAGATCCTCCCTGAAGAGCTGATTTCATCGATGTATCACACTTGGGGTCTAGCGGAAATGATTACAGAGATATAGGGTGTGAAAAATCGACATTTTTCAACTTTAGGATTTTTTTGTGTCGAAACTATTCATCATTGGTCAAAACGGCTCACATGTCCCTATCTCAACTTTTGATTAACTATCTACTGATATTTAATTGGGACATATACCGGGTGATCAAGATTCTGAATTCTGCACCACCCTGTATTTGTTTCAATTAAATGTTAGTAGATAGTTGATCAAAAGTTGAGATAGGGACATGTGAGCCGTTTTGACCAATAATGAATAGTTTCGACAAAAAAAATTCCTGAAGTTGAAAAATGTCGATTTTTCACACCCTATATATCTCTGTAATCATTTCCGCTAGACCCCAAGTGTGATACATCGATGAAATCAGCTCTTCAGGGAGGATCTAAAAATGCAATAAAATACAGAGTGTTCTATTTGAAAAATCAAAGTTGCTACTGCTTTCTAATAGAAGCGGCAACACCACATTGTCGAAAATATTTTAGTTGGCTAGAGAATGTCCGAATATGCCCTCTATTGAATTTTCAGAATGATCCGTTATCTGGTTTGCCAGAAACGTCTAATTAACGCTCATCGTGAAAAGCCCTGTATAATTCGCTGGAAATTGGACATCAGGCTGAAGGTTGTAAAATAGGCTTTTATAAAAGCAAATTACGCCCGAAATACATACAACATTTTATGCACGACCGGTATATTCTATTTTTCATTGTGAATACCTTTTCACCTCTCGAGAACGACATAGAAATACATCATGGCTGAATTGAGGGATATCATTGATGGAATCAACGTTACCATGGTACCTCAGTCACTTTTTTGAATTAGGAGTAGATTATTATATGCTCTGTTAATCAATGTCATCACAGATTGCCTACTTATTTTGGGTTTGATCATATCATTTTGCATCTCAGATTTATCGAGAGTACTATAATATTTGATAAGGAACCATCACAACTGAAACATAAATGTCCTGAATTGTAGAAGAATGCCTATTACGAGTTACATGTACAGGGTGGGCAAAATTGGGCGTTTTCACCGTCTATCTCAATAACTAGAGGAGTTATCGAAAAACCGATATTCATGTTCCGGGTTCGATTTTGGAGAAACCTCGAATGGCACAATCAAAATTTCGATATCTTATTCATTCGTTTTAGAGATACAGGGGGAAATTGAAAATTTGCCGATTTCGATTTTATTTTCTGACTACTTTACGGTGAGAGGTATCAAAAAATTTCAAACGTATATTTATACAGTATGATGCGTGGAATCCATTGGCATAATCAGAAATTGTATACAGGGTGACGTTGAAAAGATACGGCAGCCAATTATGTTTTTTCTAATGGAACACCCCGTATATTTTGGCACAGTTGAATAGTCCCAGGCGTTCTCATTACAAATATATATATAACCCTACCTTTTCCTTCCACAATTTCAGATAGGATTCAAAAATTCGCAACTGTCGATACAAATGATACACTCATGGAGTCATGGACCAAGTGGGATCATCTCCAATGATAACACTGCCTGCCAGCAGCTATGGAATCATCGATATTTCTGGATAATGCTATCAACATGCAGAATCGAGGTTGAAAATGACACTCTGTATATATTCACCAAATGTGGAAAATAAATATCATAGGGAATGTAATTTCCAGATAAATGGATATTTGGTAAGAAATGAAATAAGAAATTACGGAATTTTGGAATTTGGACATCTTCTGTATTTTTCAACGCAACCTATTGATTTCCTAATTGAGTAAAATATTGGTCTTATTTCTGTATCTCAAATGTCTTGATAACAATGATATCAAATCGAATAATTTCCCATTTTATTTCACACCAAATATCCATTTGTCTGGAAATAACATTCCCTATGATATTCATTTTCCACCTTTGATGAATATATACTGAGTGTCATTTTCAACCTCGATTCTGCCTGTTGATAGCATTATCCAGAAGTATCGATGATTCCATAGCTGCTGGCGAGCAGTGTTATCATTGGAGATGATCCCATTTGGTCCATGACTCCATGAGTGTATCTTTTGTATCTTTCTGACAGTTGCGAATTTCTGAATCCTACCTCAATTATTTTTACAGAAGATACGGGGGTGTAACCATAAGAAATGTGACACACTGAACATATTTTTGCGAATATATCTGAAATTGTGGAAGGAAAAGGTAGGGTTATATATATATTTGTAATGAGAACGCCTGGGACTATTCAACTGTGCCAAAATATACGGGGTGTTCCATTAGAAAAAACATAATTGGCTGCCGTATCTTTTCAACGTCACCCTGTATACAATTTCTGATGATGCCAATGGATTCCACGCATCATACTGTATAAATATACGTTTGAAATTTTTTGATACCTCTCACCGTAAAGTAGTCAGAAAATAAAATCGAAATAGGAAAATTTTCAATTTCTCCCTGTATCTCTAAAACGAATGAAGATATCGAAATTTCGATTGTGCCATTCAAGGTTTCTCCGAAATCGAACCCAGGACATGTATATCGGTTTTTCGATAACTCCTCTAGTTATTGAGATAGACGGTGAAAACGCCCAATTTTGCCCACCCTGTACGCCTGGCGTTGAAGTGGTCCGCGGGTGGTGCAAAAAATATATTATACTGACGAGACTTGTTTGAATGACGGTAAAAAGTATAGCAGGACCTGAATGTAACGAAATCTCCTTCCGGTTAGCGCCGTCAAGTAATCATTATCCACAAAGGTAGTGACTGGATTTTTGGATAGTATATTATTTGAATCGGCACCAGTAGGCGAGGAAAAAACTCGTTAATTCAGTTCAAACTGAAATATACTAGCAGAAAAATGAGAGGTAGCGGTTGGTGGGCAAGCGAAACTTTTTCACTCGTTTGGAATATAGGCTATTCCGGTACTTGTTGTAGACTATACTATTTGAACTTATAGAGTTTTGGAGGATTAAAGTTCTTGGGAATACTTTCCTGGACAACGAATTCCGAAGCTTTGCATAGACAAAGGAGTTTTGATAGAGTTGTTCGCCATATCTCGAGGTTAACGACAAAAGGATGTTCTATTGAATTTAATTGATTGAGTCTGATTGTTTCTAAGCATGTGTGTATTACTAATCATGAAAAAATATATTGTACTGAGAATTAACCTCTCCTCCATCCAACAAATTTTGTTGGACAATATTGTAACTACCATACTAAGACAATTCTGCACATTGATATTCCTGAGGTTTTTCTAACAAACTGATTGTATGCTCACAACTTCACTGAAGAAGTAAGCTGCACACGGAGCGCTTGCTCAGCGATATGATTTTTACTTGTTTTTAAATACATTTGATATCAGAGTATGAACCGTTCTTTAGAGTTGATCAGAGCACTTGAAAAGGCGGTCATGCAATAACCGAGTTTAATTTTTCTGATACTAGCATATTTATAATAGCATTTCTAACATTTTCTGTACCTTCAAATAGTTACTTATGTAACGAGTGTGTAAAGTGGTACCTTTTTTACGAGTAGGATATGTTGACGCACGTGTTACATACAATATTTTTCCTACAACTGTCAAAAAACAGGACAACCTCATTCAACTTATGATATAAATGATTAAATTATATTTCGTAATTATTATCAAGTACATATACTCATTTTATGTCACTTTATTGATAACACCTGGTTTCTAAGGACAACATAGCCAGAGCTACCTTCGGCTAATTCGAATAAATCGCTTATCTCGCTCGCGTTCAGCGAAGATGATCAAATCATACGTGAGATGCGAGCATATGATTATCTAAAACGCGATGATATCGTGGCGTCTCCTTCCCGCTCCCATTTCTATTTCACTGGCACTCCATACGAAATACGAAGTCAGCCGCCTTGATTTGTTCGCTTGCCTTGCTGAATTCCGTAAAGGAGTCCATAGACTACGTTGTTGGTGGGCTGTTTCGTTCGTCGATCAAATATGTTCGAACAAAAATGACGCAAAACTAGCGAAAACGACCATTTTGCAGCCACACACTCCAGTTTTGCGTAATTTTTGTTCGAACATACTTGTTCGTCGAAGAGAACAGCCTAGCAACAACGCAGTGTATGGCCCCTTTCACGCAAGCATTCATTCCATCGCCTAGCAACAACCATGACTTTTCAGTAAAATAATGAAACAGTCTTTTAATATTGGATAATCTCACACTTTAGACACACATAATATATTAATAAATTGAAAGTAAAGAATTTTTTTAAATGAAAAGCTTTTATTGAAACGCTCTTAGAAGAATAAAATGAAATGTTCCTTTATAATTTTAATTACCACCTTATAACCATACACAATTTATATGATTATAAACGCTTGTCGCGCGATTTACTTATGTGGATAAAATAGTACTAATTTAATTTTGTAAAATCTGCTGAGTTTAAATTTTATACATTTCAATTTAATTAAATATTGGTCATCGCGACAAGCTTTTATGATCATATAAATTGTGTATAATGATGTTATAAGTTGATAGTTGAAATTATAAAGGAACATTCTATTTTATTCTTTTTAGAGCGATTAAATAAAATCTTTTTATCAATTTTTTTTTTACTTTCAATTTATTTTTCAATTTTTAGTTATCGCTGGCTAGGTTTCTCAGTCTTTTCATTTCATTCAATGCATCGTTGTTGCAAGGTTGTTTGCCGGTTAATTTCGAGCAGTCTAGCTCTTCAACAAGGAGACCTTCTAATGATTTTACCCTACTTAAAGCCACGTATGCTTGACAAGCAGCGAAGAGCTTCGAGTCTAATTGAATAACGGCATAGTCGATAGTACTACCTTGAATTTTGTGTACTGTACAAGCCAAGTACATAACAACTTAGTGTGCCATATTGGATTTTGAGTGATGTCACATTATTTCTAATTATTCTCGGCCAGCCTTTTCATTTGATACCCATATTGCAGAAGTGCATGAATAACAACTATTCCGCCATTTTGGATGTTCCGCCATATTGGATTTAGAATAACGTTACATTATTTTCCGAGGTACTCTCAACGAGCCGTTTCATTTGTAAAAGTCGATTGAAAATAACTATTCCTCCATCTTGGATGGTCTGCCATATTGGATTTAGAATGTCGTCACATTATTTTCCGAGTTGCTCTCAACGAGACCTTCGAAAATAACTATTCCGCCATCTTGGATAGTCCGCCATATTGGATTTAGAATGACGTCACATTATTTTCCGAGTTACTCTCATCAAGCCCTTTCATTTGACACCTACATCGTAGAAGTGCATTAAAAATAACTATTACGCTGTCCTGGATGGTCCGCCATATTGGATTTAAAATGACGTCACATTATTTTTGGAGTTACTCACAACAAGTCCTATACATTTGATACCCATATTGTAGAAGTGCATTGAAAATAACTATTTCGCCATCTTGAACGTTTCGCCATATTGTATTTAGAATGACGTCACATTATTTCCGAGTTACTCTCAACGAGCCCTTTCATTTGATACCCATATTGTAGAAGTGCATTGAAAAGAACTATTCCGCCATTTTGGATGGTTTGCCATATTGAATTCAGAATGACGTCACATTATTTTTTGAATTACACCCAACGAACCCTTTCATTTGATACCCATATTGTATTAAAAATAACTATTCCGCCATCTTGGATGGTCCGCCATATTGGATTTAGAATAACTTCACACACCTTATCGTACATTGTCATCCAAACTAAACGTGTATACAAAATTTCAGCTCAATCGGTTGAAGATATCTACTTCAAAATTGATTTCAAAGATTCCACCCGAACTAACATACAAAAAGTGCCGTTTTTTGACAGTTGTAGGAAAATATTATGTATTTTTTCATTCTGATTCTTACTAATCGAACTTCTATAATTTTATTTGTTTGATAAAAACGGTATTGGTTATTGGAAAGCTAGATTTTTCTCAGGTAAATATTATAATGTGCAAAATTGTGTCCTGTGTGTGTAATTCATGTACTTTACCATTGAAAAAATAATAAACTTGATAGAATTGGTGTTTCCTATATTTCAGGCCATTACAGTTATATACATACTGTGAGGAGACAAAATCAACCAGGGGGACAAGTCATCGAAGTCAAAACTCAAATAGGTCACCGTGACTACATCAATCTGTTAACACAAAAGGACAATTCGCATTTCACGATATACAAAAGGCGACGATGCTTCATTCATAACAATCAGTATTTTCAACTCGATATATACGAGCAACCCAGCCATCCGAGGTAAGAAAATATAGATCGCGAAATTGGTGTCTCAAGGTGAGATCTTTTGATTGAAGTTTGCATAAATAATTCATGAGAATGTCTGAGAATTCTGAAATAATGGGAAAATTATGTAAGCTAATACGATACATTTAAAATAATTGCTGCTATCTAAACAATATTCCGTGAACTAAACTGCTCAACACTTGAAACATAAAATAGACATTTTTCGACCAAATTTATTTCATTATAAGTATCAACAGATTATCGAACCTGTGGAAATGATTATTGCATCTCTTCAGAATGAGATTCTACAGGATGATAATCATCATTTCAAAAGCCTTCCGTCTAGAAGAAAAATCTTCCTAATTTTTTTCTGAGGTGATAAACATTTTACACCTTCTGTTTTCTCGAAATTGTGTTGATATTTATGAAAATGGCCCTCTTATTACTGAAATATTAATATTTTTATAAGAAAATTCATAATTTAATTTATATTGGCGTGAGTTCTTGTCATTCTGATTCAAACATATTCATTGATAATTCGCGATAGAAAATAACACGTCGCTCCACCTGACGGCAGCAACTTGAACCCTTCTGAGCGGTTTGTTTTGATGATATGACCAATAAGCACAAACAAAAAACAAAGGTGAACCAATGAAAACAAAGTAAACATGCCGCTTTGACAGCTTTCAAGAACTCCGATAGGTGGCGTACGCTTATTTTCTATCGCGAATGAGTCATTCTCAAGAAAAATATGCACGATATTGAAAAAAGAATCGAAAACTTCTAATAATCTTGATATACAACTTCAATCATTCATTCAATCGTCAACATACTGGAATAATGATGGATTATAAAACTGAAATGGTCATATTGAGAAACGAGAATATGAATGCTGATCGCTACCGTGATAGATATATTAAAAATGTTGGTTGTTCCACCTGCTCAAAATTTTAGTGAACAATTCCTAGTTGATGCTCATCCACATCTTGCACGTTTAATTGTCACTGAAATTTTGAGGGAACAACATTGAAAAAATGAATTGGCCACCCTTGTCTCCTGATATGAATCTGATTGGTAAGCTATTTCCAGAATTTCATGAATAACTTGATAGGAATTATGTCCACTAGTTTCTCCTACGGCCATGAAGAGGACCAACTGTCTATTATCAATTCGTGTTATTGATGTTTCAACTTTTTCATGTACACTTCATTGATAATATTCATAAAACATAAAAATTTGGTGATGTGATTTTAACTGCTGTTATTTTGAAAAGCTATGAAGCTGGAACACTGTGATGGAATTAATTTTGATATACTCTTATTCTTTCCCTGTCTATGTGATGTCTTCCATTCTTTTGAATGTTATCATAATATTCATTCTTTTTTACCTTGAAATTATGTTATAAATATGCATCACCAAGTGGGAACGACGCTTCTGGAATCCGGTTCTTTCAACAATTTCAGTTAGTTTATCTCACAACATTTATCAAATTATGTGAAACACACTTTTATCTATTAACAATTCATGAACTCAAAAACATCAACTGATTAACTGATTCATAACATATAACTTTTCTACGACTGTTACTATTTTCGATTTCTTCGTCTGTAGCCATCCGATTTCCTCTCAAGTAATGCTCTTCTATTAGACAGAGCTGTAATTGTTTGAAATCCGACATTCCATGGGCGATGAGATTTTTTTGAAATAATAACACAATGGAGTCATTGTGATATCAGATACGGAAATAAAATTGAAGACATACAAAGTAGCTCATTGATATATCGAACACAGTAAAACAAGAACAATTTTGTGTTATAGCCATAGAAAAAAGTCTTGTATTCGATCGCGATTCCCTTGCTCATCTTCCATATAACGTTCGTCGTATCAAGATACGGCCTTACGAGCACGCTATGAGGTAGGGATCAGGCATCATTCGCGTCGAAGCCTTCTTCGTTGTGTAGCGCTGTTGCCACAAAATAGGTCAGTTGTTTTGCAGGGAGGGTAGTTCACCTTCTTTCACGTAATTTTCCATAGTTATTTGTAGTTGACCTTCTTTTACATAATTTTCAATAATTATTTATGGAATTAATTCAAAAATCTAGTATCTGGCGACCCACTCACCTAGTCAGTACTTACATCATGGAAATATCTCATGATATCAAATTGAATTTACTGTAAAGTGTCGAGATGGTTCATTCATATAATGAAAATAATTAATCTATATTGTTCTTCAATTTTCGAACAATCAAGTTAGCAAAAAGAATTTGTTGTATTTTTTTTGTGTATAAACCACATTTCAAATAAGAAGATAGTAGGTGGCGCTGCCGCTGATGGATTTTTGTTTTAATGTTCTGGTTCCCACGAGAAGGGATATCCTGTAATGTTCAGAGAACATCGTGAGAACCAAGGGAAATAAGGTAGGAATTGGTGTTCTTCTTAAATTTCTGGAGGTTATATGCCTCGGGGAACACCTTCCTTGGCAATTTGTTCCAGAGCCTCGCTGTTCGTTGGATGAACGAGTCTTTGAAAAGAGATGTTCTGCAGGTCTCCAAAGTGACCACGAAGGGGTGCGAAGCCTCAACTCGACGGTTTAATCTCGCGGGGACTGCCAAGGGAGGAACAATTGTTGATATTTCAGAAGAGCATCGTCCATGAAAATATCTATAAAATAGGGCCAGATCGCCAACTTTTCTACGGTGTTCCAGAGAAGTGAGTGAGTTTGTGAGCGAGGCATCACCCACGAGACGAATTGCCCTTTTTGGGACAGAATCCAACAGTTTCATGGTATGTTTGGGTGCTGCATTCCAAATATGGGAACAGTATTCCAGGACAGGTCGGATCTGTGCCTTATAGATCATAAGCAGCTGACTGGAAGTGCAATAGCTCCTGGACCGAAACAGAAAACCAAGTTTTTGGGATGCACTTTTAGCAATTGATCTCACGTGATTTTCCCAAGATAGGTTATTGCTGATACTAATACCAAGCATCGAAATGAATGTCTTCAGAAGTATGGTTACTCCTGACAACCTTATGTTGGGCACAGTGAGATCGACTTTTATAGAGAAAAGGCATGCTTGTGTTTTGTTTGCATTGAAATCTACCAAGTTATTGGATCCCCATTCGAGAATTGTAGCCAAGTCCATATTTATGTTGTCAAAATGTCTCTCTCGCTCGTTCCTGATTTGCCTGGCTGGTATTGGAGCCCTGGAAGAGAAGGCGATATGGAGGGTACTATCATCCGCGAAGCTGTGTACTGGACATTAAGTTGCTTCCAACAAATCGTTGATATGGAGTCGAAATAGTGTTGGTCGCCCAATTCTAAATCGTGGCCATTCTGATGATTGACTTTCACTTTGAGTTCGAGTTTATTCTCGAAATTCAGTGTAACAAAAAAAATAACGACAAATGAATGAAATGTGATCATCTTCACATGAAGGAAACTTCAACCTTGGCTCTAATATTAACCAAATTGAAGCGAAGGTCAATGTTTCATTAGGGATCCAACTATGTCTTCTTAGTTGGAATGGACTACAATAGTTCAATCTCACTACTGTCCTCTATTGAGACGCTTCACAATGCAATAATTATATTCAAATTATGCAGAACACAGTTTTATCTATTAACAATTCATGAACTCAAAAACATCAACTGATTCGTATTATGAAATTCATTTGTATTCGATCGCGAATCTCTTGCTCATCTTCCATATAACGTTCGCCGTATCTTGATGGCCTTGCGAGCATGCTTTGACGTAGGGATTGGGCAAAATTGCCTCCAATATTAACCAATCGGAGCGAAGGTCAACGCTTTTCTATGCTTTCCTACACTGTCTTCTTTCTCAGTTGGAATGGACTATAGTTTATCTAGCTATCCTCGACTAAAGCGTTTCACAATACGATAATTTTATTCCCAAGCATACAGATTCACTTTTATCTATTGATAATTCATGAACTAAAAAATCTTGATTGATTGGTAACATGGAATTCATTTGTATTCGATCGCGAATCCCTTGCTCATCTTCCATATAACGTTCGCCGTATCTTGATGGCCTTGCGAGCACGCTATGACGTAGGGATTGGGCAAAATTGCCTCCAATATTAACCAATCGGTGCGGAGGTCAACGCTTCTCTATGCTTTCCTACACTGTCTTCTTAGTTGGAATGGACTATAGTTTATTTCGCTTTCATCTACTAAAGCGTTTCACAATGCGATAATTTTATTTCCAAGCATACAGATACACTTATCTATTGACAATTCATGAACTAAAAAACCTTAACTGATTCGTAATATGAAATTCATTTGTATTCGATCGCGAATCCTTTGCTCATCTTCCATATAACGTTCGCCGTATCTTGATGGCCTTGGGAGCACGCTATGAGGTAGGGATCGGGCTTCACTCCCGTCGAAGCCTTCTTCAACAGCAGCCACTTCACTAGGGGCGTGTGTCCCAACGTGGCGGCCATTTGTAGGGGCGTCAGCCCTTTACGTTGTGTAGCGCTGTTGACACAAAATTGGTCAGTTGTTTTGAAGGGTGGGTAGATCACCTGCTTTTACGTGATTTTCCATTGTTATTTGTAGTTGACCTTGTTTCACGTAATTTTCAGTAATTATTCATGGAATTGATTAAAAAATCTAGTATTTGGCGGCCCACTCACCTATAGTCAGTACTTACATCATGGAAATATCACATGATATCAAATCGAACTTACTGTGAAGTTTCGAGATGATGTTCATTCATATAATGAACATAATTAATCTATACTGTTCCTCAATTTTCGAACAATCGAGTTAGCGAAGATTTTTTGTACATTTGTTTTTGGTGTATAAACTAAATTCCAAATAAGAAGATAGTAGGTAGCGCTGCCTCTGATGAAATATTTGTACTGATGAGATAATTATATGGCGCCTGATTCAAAACCAAGGCCATTCTTATGATTAAATTCGACTTGGAGTTAAGTTGGAATGGACTATAGTTTATCTCGCTCTCCTCTACTAAAGCATTTCACAATACGATAATTTTATATCCAAGCATACCTTTTCATGAATTCAAAAACCTCAACTGATTGGTAACATGGAATTCATTTGTATTCGATCGCGAATCCCTTGCTCATCTTCCATATAACGTTCGCCGCCTCTTGATAGCCTTGCGAGCACGCTATGACGTAGGGATTGGGCAAAATTCCCTCCAATATTAACCAATCGAAGCGAAGGTCAACGCTTTTTTATGCTTTCCTACACTGTCTTCTTAGTTGCTTAGTTGGAATGGACTATAGTTTATCTCGCTCTCCTCGACTAAAGCGTTTCACAATGCGATGATTTTATTTCCAAGCATACAGATACACTTATCTATTGACAATTCATGAACTAAAATTCGTAATATGAAATTCATTTGTATTCGATCGCGAATCCTTTGCTCATCTTCCATATAACGTTCGCCGTATCTTGATGGCCTTGCGAACAAGCTATGAGGTAGGGATCGGGCATCACTCGCGTCGAAGCCTTCTTCAACAGCAGCCACTTCACTAGGGGCGTGTGCCCGAACGTGGCGGCCATTTGTAGGGGCGTCAGCCCTTTACGTTGTGTAGCGCTGTTGCCACAAAATTGGTCAGTTGTTTTGAAGGGTGGGTACTTCACCTTCTTTTACGTGATTTTCCATAGTTATTTGTAGTTGACCTTCTCTTACGTAATTTTCAATAATTATTTATGGAATTCATTCAAAAATCTAGTATTTGACGGCCCACTCACCTATTCAGTACTCACATCATGGAAATATCACATGATATCAAATTGAATTTACTGTAAAGTGTCGAGATGATGTTCATTCATATAATGAACATAATTAATAATCTGCTATATTGTTCCTCAATTTTCGAACAATCAAGTTAGGAAAAATGATTTTTTGTTCATTTGTTTCTGCTGTATAAACCACATTCCAAATAAGAAGATAGTAGGTGGCCCTGCCTCTGATGGAATATTTGTACTGACGAGATAATTATATGGCGCCTTATTCAAAACCATGGCCATTCTTATGATTGAATTCCACTTTGTGTTAAGTTGGAATGGACGATAGTTTATCTCACTTTCCTCTACTAATAATAATAATTTTATTTCCAAGCATACATAAATACTTTTATCTATTGACAATTCATGAACTAAAAAACCTTAACTGATTCGTAATATGAAATTCATTTGTATTCGATCGCGAATCCCTTGCTCATCTTCCATATAACGCTTGCCGTATCTTGATGGCCTTGGGAGCACGCTATGAGGTAGGGATCGGGCATCACTCGCGTCGAAGCCTTCTTCAACAGCAGCCACTTCACTAGGGGCGTGTGCCCGAACGTGGCGGCCATTTGTAGGGGAGTCAGACCTTTGCCGTTGGGCTCGTCGATGTTCGCGCCTGCGTAGTACAGCTCTCTGATGCACGTGGCGTTCTTGAATTGGGGGTATTTGATGTAGTAGAAGGTGGCGAGGTAGAAGGGGGACTCTTCTTTGGCGGATTTCAAATTGACGTCGGCACCTTCGGAAACGAAAGAAGTTATACTGGGTGATTTGCAACCAACTTACCCTCCCTCCTATCTTCGTTGCTATTTTTAATGGATTCTTCTCAAATTTGGAACATTGATTTGATTGCATGAGTGTATGATTTTGCTAGTATCAGACGAAATAATTATGACACTTCTGATTTGAGCGGAAGTGCATCCAATTTTTTTTTATTGCAATAACAATGTATAACTTCTTGAAATTATGATTCAGTATAACATTACCTTTCCAACGATATATCACAATCATACTTTCAATTCACAATCTAGTCATATAATTGTGATTTCACAAAAAAATACTTTTATGAAAGTGTGCTATGGATAATGCTTCGTTTTAGAAAACATCCTGTATATTGATCACAACTCGTGTTTAATGGAAACAATGGAACAAGAATGTTATCATTTATCTATCCAATTTGTTGAGAGCTTTGAAAATCCTCAAAGTAAAATAAATACAAAAGCTCAGTCATTTCCACACAATTGTTCATAAAATAGACAACAATGGTAGATTTAGACAGAAAAACAACAACTTTCCTGGCTAATGCCACGCAGAACATTGAATTACATCCTCCCGAAATCTATGCATCGACTCCTATAAACGAATACGGATTCAAGTGATTCTTATTGATTCAATGATGTGTTTACGAAAGCCTAAAGTTTTCGAACCATTCCCAAACCTCATTGTCAGATTGGTCACAGTGAATCACGTGATACATTATGGACGCATGCGCATTCGCTCGTAGAGAAACTTGAAATTATTATAAACGAGACCCTTGGGGTCTCGAGAGGAAGGAAAAACATCCTGGAAAGCCTAAATCACTATACAAATGATCACAGTGTGATGACGCTATGCTATTAGTGGACCAGAATAAAACTCCCTGGTCAAACACAGCCTCCACAATTTCATTGCGAAAAATATTAAAAGAGAACACGAATCTCAACATATCACGTGATGGGAATGGTTCGAAAGATTTAGGCACTCTATCGCAACCACCACGTCATATGACCAAGAAATCAGCCAATAGTAAATGAGTCGATCATAACCCCATGCTTTCGTCTAAAACATGTTTATCAGTTCCACTTCAATCATAGAATTCGGAACGAAATAAATTTATTGAAAAACGAGAATTTGTACGGGTACGGGTACCTTTTTTCAACATCAGTTTGACTAGCTGGGTATTTCCATTAGCACATGCCATTTGAAATGGCGTATATCCATCTCTGCAAAATTCATTTACGCAATGAGGATGCTTTTGTAGGAAACTTATACAACCAACTACATCATTTTCGTCGATAGCTTTGTACATTTTGTCTAACACATCACGGTTGTGTTGTGAATAAAAAATCTCTGTAACTTTCAACAAGAACACAATTGCTAAGTAAATCAATATGCTGAAACAAATCCACATTATTATCACAGTGCTTTGGTAAGAATTGCACCAATGCGACATTTGAGATATGAAACAATTATGGATTTTCTGAATTATTTGTATCAACATATTTTCAACAAATCTGCCACTATTTATTTCAAAATCCTATCAACTGTCATTGTCAAATAAAAACAAAAGCTGCACTTTCATTTTTGACAGCCAAGGTCAAACAGTAGTTGTGACAGGAGCGGATCATTGTAAATTGGACTGAGTTATTTGAGATCGCCTATTAATAATTTGACTTGTAAAATATCATAGCTGAAAGTGTCTGGATATATTCTAGATGCAGAGGGATGATTTTTCTGGAGACTTATTCTGCTTTGGAAATTGATCAGCTTCCCAAAACGTTGCCTTCTTTTCTGAACATAAAGAAAGAAGTGACTGGAAATGCAGATTATTCCATGTACAATCTATCCCTGAGAGAGGACTGGAAGACATCTAAAAAGTTCTACAGATCGATTGCAGGTGAGATTGTGATAATGGCGGTTTTTTTCAAACCATTTTTCTAAAAAAATTTGTTTTGTGGGAAAAATTTCGGTCACATTGAATTTAATTTTTGGCTACAGTTCTTCTGATGGTAAATTCATGTACTGTGTGTCCAGTTTTTTATGCTTTTGCGAGATAACTCAGTTATTTTTGATAGAGGGTTGCTGATTTCACATTACTGTCTTATGTTTTGTGAAACGAATAATGTCGCAATCGGAATTTTCAGTGTTCCATGTACCTTTTTGAGATACAGGGTGGAGTTGAAAATTCTCACTTATTAAGCACCTCCCGTATTTTGGTTAATTTTCGACTTATACCGGCAGGATGAGAACGGGGCCTTATATACCTATAATACAGTGGCGTACTCATTTTGTTTCTGTTATCGCTCAGTTTTAGAAAATGAAGCCATGTTTCATGTTACAGAAATGAGTCAACAATAATATAATAATGGTAATAATAATAATAAACGCTTTTATTGATAGACAGAAAGAACACAACAAAAATACATTAGAGTAAAAAATAATCTATCAAATGGCAGAGTTAGCTCTTGAACGTTCCCAAAAGGAAACGCCGAGGAAGTGCTTTCTTTCACTCAACCCTGAGAGGTCTTTATACTGATATGCCTGCCACATATTCCTCAGACCAAATCTATTTGATTTAAGAAAACTCACTTCGCTATCTAGTTCTAAGTTTGAGTGCTGAACGTCTCTTGAGTTACAATTTCCAAATCGTTTTTGCTTTATAACTTTGAAATGCTTCATGATATATCACTCACATAATATGATACGTTGGCATAGCTTCATTTGGCAAAAATTCCCATATAATCATGATGAATATTCATTATTTATTGTTATTATTAATTCCAGTAGATGACATCTGAAACATCTGCGTCAATAGAAAGAAAGGAATGAAATTTGGAATGCGTAACTCATTTGGGTTCTAGAAAATATGACACTCTTGAAAAATTTTAATGTTCTCCAATCTCACTTATAGGATGCTAAAAACTGAAATGTACTGGCAGCCATTTTTGTTGTTTTTTGTAGTACTTACGTCAGAGTTATATCGAATTGTTTTAGTCTGAGTAATATGTAGTAGAATTTTGTGAAGACCTTTTGAGGACACATATAACAAAAGAGGACAAATTGATATACTATTGATATAATTTTTCATTGACGATACGATTTTTCCTTTGAATAAACGCAGACAATTCAACTCCGATTATAATAAATTACAAATAAACAATGAAATGAATAAAAATTACAGTGAATTTTACCGGTGCAGTACCTTAATTCTTAATTAAGCAATAAGAATTTCGATAGTATTCATAAACTACTGAATTCGAAATTGTGTTGTTGCTTATTAATTTCGCGAATGACATTGTTAACAAAACTGTTAGCCTTAGAGAGCTGGATTATGATGTCATTCAACGAATATTTCCAGGCACAATAGTATCACAAATTGTATTGTATTCCTGTTATCATTAAATGAATATTATTGAATCTGATTAATTCTCTAAAATATGAGTGGAATAGTGAAAATTAATCAACATGTTAGAATTTCCCTAATTTTCAATATATTTGCAGAACCGGATGATTCTACAGTACCACCAACCCAATATCCTGAAATAATTCAAGTTGATTCAAAGGACATCGATTGCAAAAAATCATTTAACAAATACAACGGTCATTTGAATGGTGGAGCATTGAATGGGGAAGCTTAAGTGTGATATTTCTAATGTCTTAGTATTGTTATTAAGTAGGTATCAAATTGCAGTAATTAGGTTTTATTGTTGTTTTTTGAGTGTTATTAATTGATTGATTGATTGATTGCTATTATTTATTTTGACATTTCACTTTGTGGGTAAACACCTAATGGTAGAAACAGTATTTCGGATCTATTTAGAATTTCAGTAATGAAGTACCTGTCCAAAAACACCGTGAACAATGGAAAATATAATATATTTTATTAATATAGAATATGTAACCTATGTTCATAGGAGTTATCATATTATGTACTTATCTGTCAACTTTAAATAGTTTAGGATTGATCTCCTGTGATTGACTATGAATAAAAAACAAGACGGTTGACCACAATTGTTTTATTTGGAAACCTTTATGAATTTATGTTCTGTTTTATTTTTCGAATCTATTCAAGATCATTATTGAGCATCCAAATTTGGTAGAACGGGCCATTACGATGTACAAGTAAGATCTACTTTTTCTGATACCAATAGAGAGTTATGCATTTTTCCATTATCCAGAAACTTTTGGGGATTTTGGTTCAGGCAGACGATAAAAAATGAGGAATATTTCAAATACCGATAAAGAGTTAATGAGTTTAATTCCTTTTTCGCTATTGTGATTATCTGGAGAATAAAGGGAGATAAAAAAAAACGGATTTCAGATTCTCAATTAGCACATCGAGAAAAGCCTGTATGCAAGTATTCAGTCTATTATTCTGACCCCTCTATTTGGATGAAAAAAGTTCTTTCAGACCCAAAAATCAACTTTGTCGTAGGGCCTTCAAATTTGGTGTACATGGTCCCTAAGGAATGCCCTAGTGCGGAGTTGAAGGACAGCTCTCTAGCTTTTATTTTGAAAAAATAGCAATTTTTCAGCTGATTTTCCTTCCTTGTGGTACCTTTGATGAAAGAATGGCTCGATCTAGTACCTCAATTGACTGGAGATCAACGTCATGAAAACTAGTGAATTTTCGACGGAACTGAATTGATTAACGTATTTGCCAACAAAAAAAAAAATATTTGCCATCATTTCAGCGATCTTCCAACTTTCTTTTTTCACTTTTTGATCGCGAATATCTCTGGAACCAGTGAAAAAAGTTCAAAGGGGTTAACCTTGTTTCTTTTTCAGACCCAAAAATCAACTTTGTCGTAGGGCCTTCATATTTGGTATACAGGGTCCCTAAGGAATGCCCAAATGCGGAGTGGAAGGACAGCGCTCTTGCTTTTATTTTGAAAAAATAGCAATTTTTCAGCTGATTTTCCTTCCTTGTGGTACCTTCGATAAAATAATGGCTTGATCTAGTACCTCAATTGACTGGAGATCGATGTCATGAAAACTAGTGAATTTTCGACGGAACTGAATTGATCAACGTATTTGCCAAAGAAAAAAAAAATCTTCGCCAACATTTCAGCGATCTTCCATCTTTGTTTTTTCACTTTTTGATCGCGAATATCTCGGGAACCAATAGAGATGAGAGCACACCGGCCTCAGATTCTTGTTCAGCACATCGAGACCAGTCGGTGTGAAAGCTTTTAGCCTATTCGGACGCATCAAGTTGGGTGAAAAAAGTTCAAAGGGGTTAACCTTGTTTCTTTCTCAGACCCAAAAATCAACTTTGTCGTAGGGCCTTCAAATTTGGTATACAAGGTCCCTAAGGAATGCCCTAGTGCGGAGTTGAAGGACAGCTCTCTAGCTTTTATTTTGAAAAAGTAGCAATTCTTTACCTGCTTTTCCTTCCTTGTGGTACCTTTGATAAAGTAATGGCTTGATCTAGTACCTCAATTGACTGGAGATCGATGTCATGAAAACTAGTGAATTTTCGACGGAACTGAATCGATCAACGTATTTGCCAACGAAAATAAAATTATTTGCCATCATTTCAGCGATCTTCCATTAACTTTGTTTTTTCACTTTTTGATCGCGAATATCTCGAGAACCAATAGAGATAAGAACACAGGGGCTTCAGATTCTTGTTCAGCACATCGAGACCACTCGGTGTGCAAGCTTTTAGCCCATTCGGACGCATCGAGTTGGGTGAAAAAAGTTCAAAGGGGTTAACCTTGTTTCTTTTTCAGACCAAAAAATCAACTTTGTCGTAGGGCCTTCAAATTTGGTATACAAGGTCCCTAAGGAATGCCCTAGTGCGGAGTTGAAGGACAGCTCTCTAGCTTTTATTTTGAAAAAGTAGCAATTCTTTACCTGCTTTTTCTTCCTTGTGGTACCTTTGATAAAATAATGGCTTGATCTAGTACCTCAATTGACTGAAGATCTATGTCATGAAAACTATTGAATTTTCGACGGAACTGTATTGATCAACGTATTTTCCAACGAAAAAAAAATTCTTCGCCATCATTTCAGCGATCTTCCAACTTTGTTTTTTCACTTTTTGATCGCGAATATCTCGGGAACCAATAGAGATAAGAACACACGGGCTTCAGATTCTTGTTCAGCACATCGAGACCACTCGATGTGCAAGCTTTCAGCCCATTCGGACGCATCGAGTTGGGTGAAAAAAGTTCAAAGGGGTTGTTAACCTTGTTTCTTTTTCAGACCCAAAAATCAACTTTGTCGTAGGGCCTTCAAATTTGGTATACAGGGTCCCTAAGGAATGCCCTAGTGCGGAGTTGAAGGACAGCTCTCTAGCTTTTATTTCGAAAAAATAGCTATTTTTCAGCTGATTTTCCTTCCTTGTGGTACCTTTGATAAAATAATGGCTTGATCTAGTACCTCAATTGACTGGAGATCGATGTCATGAAAACTAGTGAATTTTCGACAGAACTGACCTGATCAATAACGTATTTGCCAACGAAAAAAAAATTCTTCGCTATCATTTCAGCGATCTTCCAACTTCGTTTTTTCACTTTTTGATCGCGAATATCTCGGGAACCAATAGAGATAAGAACAAACGGGCTTCAGATTCTTGTTCAGCACATCGAGACCACTCGGTGTGCAAGCTTTTAGCCCATTCGGACGCATCGAGTTGGGTGAAAAAAGTTCAAAGGGGTTAACCTTGTTTCTTTTTCAGACCCAAAAATCAACTTTGTCGTAGGGCCTTCAAATTTGGTATACAGGGTCCCCAAGGAATGCCCTAGTGCGGAGTTGAAGGACAGTTCTCTAGCTTTTATTTTGAAAAAATGGCAATTTTTCAGCTGATTTTCCTTCCTTGTGGTACCTGTGATGAAATAATAGCTTGATCTAGTACCTCAATTGACTGGAGATCGACGTCATGAAACCTAGCGAATTTTTGGCGGAACTGAATTGATCAACGTATTTTCCAACGAAAATAAAATTCTTCGCCATCTTCTCAGCGATCTTCCAACTTTGTTTTTTTCACTATTTGATCGCGAATATCTCGAGAACCAATAGAGATAAGAACACACGGGCTTCATATTCTTGTTCAGCACATCGAGACCACTCGGTGTGCAAGCTTTTAGCCCATTCGGACGCATCGAGTTGGGTGAAAAAAGTTCAAAGGGGTTAACCTTGTTTCTTTTTCAGACCAAAAAATCAACTTTGTCGTAGGGCCTTCAAATTTGGTATATAAGGTCCCTAAGGAATGCCCTATTGCGGAGTTGAAGGACAGCTCTCTAGCTTTTATTTTGAAAAAATAGCAATTTTTCAGCTGATTTTCCTTCCTTGTGGTACCTTTGATAAAATAATGGCTTGATCTAGTACCTCGATTGACTGGAGATCGATGTAATGAAAACTATAGTGAATTATCGACGGAACTGAATCGATCAACGTATTTGCCAACGAAAATAAAATTCTTTGCCATCATTTCAGCGATCTTCCAACTTTGTTTTTTCACTTTTTGATCGCTAATATCTCGGGAACCAATAGAGATAAGAACACACGGGCTTCAGATTCTTGTTCAGCACATCGAGACCACTCGGTGTGCAAGCTTTTAGCCCATTCGGGCGCATCGAGTTGGGTGAAAAAAGTTCAAAGGGGTTAACCTTGTTTCTTTTTCAGACCCAAAAATCAACTTTGTCGTAGGGCCTTCAAATTTGGTATACAGGGTCCCTAAGGAATGCCCTAGTGCGGAGTTGAAGGACAGCTCTCTAGCTTTTATTTCGAAAAAATAGCTATTTTTCAGCTGATTTTCCTTCCTTGTGGTACCTTTGATAAAATAATGGCTTGATCTAGTACCTCAATTGACTGGAGATCGATGTCATGAAAACTAGTGAATTTTCGACGGAACTGAATTGATCAAAACGTATTTGCCAACGAAAAAAAAAATCTTCGTCATCATTTCAGCGATCTTCCATCTTTGTTTTTTCACTTTTTGATCGCGAATATCTCGGGAACCAATAGAGATGAGAACACACGGGCTTCAGATTCTTGTTCAGCACATCGAGACCAGTCGGTGTGAACGCTTTTAGCCTATTCGGGCGCATCGAGTTGGGTGAAAAAAGTTCAAAGGGGTTAACCTTGTTTCTTTTTCAGACCCAAAAATCAACTTTGTCGTAGTGCCTTCAAATTTGGTATACAAGGTCCCTAAGGAATGCCCTAGTGCGGAGTTGAAGGACAGCTCTCTAGCTTTTATTTTGAAAAAATAGCAATTTTTCAGCTGATTTTCCTTCCTTGTGGTACCTTCGATAAAATAATGGCTTGATCTAGTACCTCAATTGACTGGAGATCGATGTCATGAAAACTAGTGAATTTTCGACGGAACTGAATTGATCAACGTATTTGCCAAAGAAAAAAAAATCTTCGCCAACATTTCAGCGATCTTCCATCTTTGTTTTTTCTCTTTTTGATCGCGAATATCTCGGGAACCAATAGAGATGAGAACACACGGGCTTCAGATTCTTGTTCAGCACATCGAGACCAGTCGGTGTGAAAGCTTTTAGCCTATTCGGACGCATCAAGTTGGGTGAAAAAAGTTCAAAGGGGTTAACCTTGTTTCTTTCTCAGACCCAAAAATCAACTTTGTCGTAGGGCCTTCAAATTTGGTATACAAGGTCCCTAAGGAATG